ATAGTTCTCGGGCAATGTTCTTGGCGTTGGCCGCCCGAAGAGGAACGGCTTCCGGGTACCGGGTGGCATAGTCCAGGATAACCAGGATGTGCTCATGTCCCGGGCAGACTTCGGCAGCGGTCCCACCAGATCCATCCCGATCCGCTCGAAGGGCACATCGATGACGGGTAGTGGAATGAGCGGGCTGGGGGGAGGACGGCACGGAGACGTCTGCTGGCAGGTGGGACAGCTACGGCAGAACCGTTTCACTTCCGCCTCTAGTCCGGGCCAGTGGAAACGGTCCCGGATGCGTTGGACGGTGTTGTCGGCTCCTAGGTGTCCCGCCATTGGGTGGCCATGTGCCAGCTCCATGATCGTCTCCGTCTTGGTGGTAGGCACAACCAGGAGGAATTTGTCCTCCCTCCACCTGTGGGCGACACAGTACAGCAGACCATTGCGTATTTCGAAATGAGGGAGGGGGTGGGGGCCCGGGAGCCTGTCTACCTCATCAATGCGGCGCACTTGATCCCAGCAGTTCCGCAGGCGGTCGTCCTCACGTTGTTCCCTTCCGAACGAGCCACCGGTCGTGACCTGGGAAAATACATCAAGGTAGACAGACGGTAGATTAGCGGGCTGACACTCACCCTCCCTCTCGCTGTCCGTCGCTAGGTAGGCCGGCCTTGGGCTGGGCGGTCCCCGACGGGGTCGCCGTGGCGGGCGGGGCAGTGCCCGTAGCAGTCGATCGATGAGCACCTTCTCGGCTACCTGGTCCGGGGTCGGCGACCCCGCGAGAAGCCATAGGTGAGTTAATCGGGCCAGTTGCGCAGCTTGCGCTCTCACTGGCTGCCGTTCATCATAGGTCCATTGATAGAACTGTTGCGCCGCCCCATGGGCGATAGGCCCACCCGGGCTAGGATTTCGGCTTTGAGCTCGTCATACTGTTCATTCCGGGGTGCCCTCAGGGCATAATAGGCCCGCTGCGCTTCTCCGGTGAGGAAGGGGGCGATGATGCGAGCCCACTCTTCCTGGACCCACCCCTCCCGGGCCGCGATGACCTCAAATGTGTGGAGGTAAGCCTCGATGTCGTCGTTCTCGGTCAACCGGACGAGGTATTGGTGCGCTTTGACCGGCGCTTCCGGGAGGGGCAAGCGCCCCACCACGCTGGCCTGCAGCTGTTCCACGACCCGGTCAGTATATTCCTGCCGGGCGGCCAGTCGCTCGGTAAACTGCTGCTGCCGGGCCGAGAGCTCCGTTAGGCGGCGGATGACCTCTTCCATGTGTCCGGGGGAAGAGAACGGTTTCTCCTAGAAGAAGCACAGAGATCGTTGCAGCAACCTGGCGGTACAAGTCTGTGTCTCAATTCACCTGTAATGCCTGCTGCCGCACGTCACATAATCATTTGCATAATAATTTACATGTCAGGCTGCTTAGCAAATAGAATGATATTGTGCATATAAATATGTATCATTTTATGGCCCATGTGATATTTGACCAGTCAAACTTATGCTTTGGTAATTCTTGCAAATGTATCTGCTGATTACATCTTTACTGAATGGTGCCTCACAGACACAATGGATTCTTATTTCATTGGTCAACCTAAATGCTTTACCATTAAAGAACTAGTTTCATTAGAACTTTATTTTTAAGAGTATATGGAGCAAATAACACGTAGGGCATTTAGAACTCACGTGCAGAGAATAGACTGGTCCTCGCGCTCTGTGGAGAAAGAAACATTTGAACACAGGACAAGAAATGCATGAATTTTCACAGTTAAGAACCTGAACGAGATTAACAAGAGGCCCGGCTGTCTAAACACAAACTCCACTGTTGTTCACTGGAGATCCCTACCTCCAAAATCTTACATATTCTAAATTGAGTACAGGGTGAGATTAACTTCAATTCATCCTTCCAAAAATAGCTGTAAAAAACTTCAGTGAGAAAGGGAAAGGCCCCATGTATGGCAATTTTGATGGCACAGCCTGTGAAACAAAGTCCCTGACACACACTCTCCAATACACAGCTGGCTCTGCTGGACTGAATAACTATGAATAATTGTCATTTTTACAATTTCCTTATTATTCTATGTTTGTGTTGTGCAATTACACAACACCGAAAGGGTTACTTTTGGGAAGATTTTTGTATATTTCTAGTTTCCATAACCACATTAAGCCTGTGAGTTGTCTAACTGTTTTTATAGGGTGCATTCAGTGAGTTAAGACTGGTGGTCACCTTGCAGCATGTTCCTATAGGCATTATCAGTGACTGCATAGATGTGGGGAGGAACCTCATGACGCTTCTTCCCCTTGTACATCTCAGTGATCTTCTCAGAGTAGATGGGCAACAACTTATAGGGGTTCACCACCACACAGAAGAGGCCTGAGTAAGTCTAGATTTGAAATAAATATGAAATACATCAAAATATATGTCAGGAAGCTGCAATATTATTATACGTTTTACATATATTGGTGCAAATTTGCTTCTTTTTTTCATCCGGTCAGATGTTATCAACTTTTTTGATATCAAGACCCCCAAGATATGATGATACCCTTGGGAGGAAGCCCCTTTCTAAAGTCACTAAAGTCGAAATCACCGAGATATGATCACGAATAAAGACTTTTGTAGTTTAACCAACTGTGTAAGGTGAAGTTTGAATGAACTTACATAAATGAGACCTGAGAAATACCTCTCCCTGATGTTATGCAGCACTGAGGCCTCATTCAGGCAAGTCAGTGCAGCCATGTCTTCAACCTTGTTGTACTTGGGTGGGTTCATTTTCTGGATTTCATCTTTGCTGACGGTCACCTTCTTTCCATTGTCAAGCTCAACCACCACCTCATTCCCTGTCTCTTCTTTGATACTGGCTGACTGAAAACCTTCCCTTTCTGAAGGTATCCACACCATCTGTTTGGTCGACCAATCAGCCTGGGCCACTCCGCTGTTTTTGAAGTCATTGTCAAGGAAAAGGAACTTGCTGCTGTCTTCATTTTCTGGTTGCTTGGCCATCTTGAAGTATTTCTGTGCGTTATTCTATGATGTAATAAGAAATGTGTTTATCATCTGTCTGTATTAGCACTACTTATGGATGTGCAAACATGTAGCCTTATTTTATATTCTAATCAGGCAAACCACAGCCATATCTTTGCCACTCACGGACCACTTATTCTCTACAGCTATAAACCTGTTGAAAGGTGATAATAAAGTCCCCATGATCATTCCTTATATGGTGTGTGTCCAGTAAAAGCTTTCTCACACACCACTGACATATTATTTTGGCCATTTTGTATTTAAGTACTGGATTTTCATGACGAATTTCCAGGACAATTTACAATCAGTATGTCCTATACATTCATATTCTTCTTACAAAATATTGTTACTGTTAAATATAATAAAATCACAGATGTACAAATTACCTATGATCTTTGCAATATTTAAATAAACCTGCAGTGCATAAACAGGCAATTCTTACAAAACATTTCAAGAGTTCCACCTTAAAATATGGCAAATGTGAAAAAAGTTAACACTGGTCAATTTTACAAAAAATTACATTACAATTAAATTACAATTAACTAAATAAAAAAAAAAAAATTAAAAAATTAATTTGCTTTATTTTTTGAAGATTAATATAACTTGCTACAAAATATATAGTACTTATGATGCTTTAAATATTTAATTACGCTTATATAAAGCAAAGCATAGATCTAATACTTACAAGCTACGATAAGCTCTTCTTAGTTTTGCAGTGTCTGCGTATGCTTAGAGCAGTATTCAAAAAATGAGTGCCTTGGATGATCTTCATTATTTTTTGAGTCTTAATGGTGGGTGGAGCAAGTCATTTGGACCATCCTACAGCCAAATTTATCAGAATATAGCCTACAGCCAATACAAATGATGAGGCTTTTCTACTGAAAGACAGTTTTGTAAAGGTCATTAAACGCTAAATGACTGTCTGTAGCCAATCTGTTAAAGTGCCTTGACTGATCAAGTCATTATTTATTATTTCTGTTTAACCTGGCCAGTATACCTGATAGAGTTTATAACCAATTTATAATAAGTCAGCTATAAACTTTTGTAAAAAGTCATCAAGCTCAGGTTGATGCTCATTATACAAGCTTATTATGATTTAATTTCATGGTTTCCACAGTTTGTTTGACCCATAGTTGTCTAGAATGGCAATCCATTTGAACATTTAATCTTTAAAATGTACTAGTATCTATTTTCATGCTACTAGTGCTTATTTTTGAGCTACTATTATCTATTAATTTAGACAAAGTAAAAAAAAAAGGTAAAAAAGTACATGTACTTAATAGGTTCAGAATATTTTTATTCTAAAAGGTTACTAGTAGCTAATACTTAAAGATGAACTTAAATCCTCTTCCAAGTTAAATATTAGACAGCAAATATCAGAAAGATGCCCCTATTGACTCCTTATAACCTACCTATACATAAACAGTGCACAGTTCTAAGAACGTATTTTATCATTCAAAGTAATTCAGTATCTTTACAAAAAAATTATTTTATTTTATGCAAGGCATCAGACGTTTCCATCGCATTCAACAACTGTTGTGACATGCGTTTAACTGAGTGTCATCTTGTCCCTGTTTGCTGCATTACATACAGGAAAATGACTTACAGCACAGTAACAACTTTATAGACAAAATAAAACGTACTCAAACCTTTGATTCACTGAACTGCTCTCACCTGAAGATGATGTAAAAACCTCTCACTGTTACTAAACAGCTGGGTTTCAACTGTAATTGAGATTGACCCAGCAACTAACTCAAGGACTGGGTAACATAAAAACTACCCAACAATGAAAATATAACCCTAAAAAAAAACCCCAGCATTTTTAGAATGTAATGAGTACGTACTAAAACCAAAAAAACGAGTAGGCTACTAGTTGAAGGAAAAGAGCTAGTACGTTTTAAGGAAAATATTTTAAAATGGCTTGCCATATTGTCGTGTGTGGCTCCCGTTACGTCAGTTCAATCGATGAAGTAACAGCGCCCCCTATTTTTCAGCTAATCCATCCCACGTCTATACGGGTCCCCAACATCACAACCTCGCACAGCAGTGGTTATGAAACGGAGGCAGTGTGAACCCAGCATAGCTACTATAACAGATCCTTCCTGCGGCGAATGGGTATTGACAATTTCTGCAGTTTGGACGGTTCTGATCCATTTTGGGTGAGTAAATAAACAGTCCTATCGTCGTAAACTGTGTTTTTCCGACGATATTTTGTTTTCAACAGATTGTCAAAGTTCACCGGGCTTGTGCTCCGCAGCATAGGGACACTTGGCTGTGTCTCAAAACACGGCGAGCAGCCTTACCTAGACATCATTTTAGGGCGTCATAGGCGCGTTTGGACGTGCGTTTTGAGGGTCAGAGCATTTTCAGGCATCAAATGCGTGCCTGAAGAGTTCAATGCGGGTTGAATGGACCTATAATAACGCCAAATAATGCTGCCTAGGTAGACAGCTTACCAAGTTTTGAGACGCGGCCACTGTTGCTAAGCTAACCGGTTAGCCACACAGCAAACTACCATATATCCTTATAACTCTCTGTGGACTTTGATCCTGTATTGTTGATATTTGTTTATAACAGTCTAACCGCCGTATGTAAGAGTGATTTATAACACGACCACCTGCTCAGTGTGTCTTTATCTCAGTGTGAAGCTGAAGAGCTGACTTGTTACTGCTCTGACTTGTTTTTGTTAAGCAAATTCCTCTAATGCTAAGTAGTTTCCTTTTAACTAGAGAACTCAGGTAATCATTTGTCATATTCACAAAGAATTAAGCTTTGTTTGTTTGTGTTCCAGTTTATGCAAGGTCTGACATGTCTGTGGATTAACAGTATTAGTTGTAGCCTGGCAGGTTGAGACAATTTGTCCTTCTGGGTCAGAGGGCCAAAATATTGAATTATGAATCACTCTGACCAGATGACTGCATGCCAAGAAAGTATGTTTCTTTTCTTGAATTGCTCCAAGCTTTTATATTTACGTTGTTAGTCCTTTGTTTGTCCAATGATACAACGCAATGAAAGATTACCAGGTTTGTAAAGTTATTAAAACTGTTTTAAATCATAGGGATACTTAAAAATGTGAAAATTGTAAAATGTAAAGTAAAAATGAAAAACAAATGTAAAAAAAATGAAGAAATTGTTCCAGTCATGTATACCCAATAATAATAATAATAATAATAATAATAATACGGTAATATAAGTAAATGTTTTACATGTTTTTTTACTTGTGCTTTCCCCAGTCATTTAGTAAGTTCACTCTTATTTTTATAGAAAAATAAAAATTAGTACAAGAAGTACTTCCATTTAAATAATATGCAATTATTATCTTTTTTAAAAGTCATTTTTATAACATTATTTAACTGTTTCATGTTTTTCCCCCCTATTAAACTGCTGTGAATTACTCATTAAAATATGATGAAGTGTATCTTTTTTATTTTACTTATTGTTTTCCCATTGTATTAATTCAGTACATTCAGTCTTTTTTTTTTTTATTACAGTAATTTAAAAGTACAACAAATACTGCCATGACATAAATAATTCCCAAGTGACACAATATATTATTCTTTGCTTTTATCATATTTTTTTTCTTGTTTTTCCTTGTTACAGTAATAAGAAAAAAGGTCTTAATGGTCCTAAAAATAGGCTTAGTTTTCTTTTTGCAAAACAACTTCCTTATGGTAAATTTATGGTGAAATGTGTTGTTCTTGACAAAGACTCACAACATCAGTGTCATTACCAAAAAAAAAAAAAACCGCATTCAAGTGCATTTAGTTCAATAGCTCGAATGTCAAGAAAATCACATTTCATGTCCTAGTCTTGAGAATTTAGCAGAGCAGCCTTTTATTTATTGACCTGTTTTTCATCCTCAGACACAGGATCATGGGAAGAGATGCTCCCTACAGAAAACACAATTAGATTTTCTTTGTAAGAAAAGGTACAGTTCATTTTTAGGCATGTTTTGGATGTCACTACTTGAAGAAGACTTGTTTTTGTCAAGAAGCTTAAGACTCTCTGCTCTGCTCTGTTGCGCAGAAAAGATTGTGCTTGACTTTGGTTCTCTGAAAGATCTGCTCAAGAGTGTTTGTTCCTTGCACACATCATTAGGTCTTTGTGTGCTTTACCGGGCAGCTCCAAGCTCTGTGTCTACTCCAGTTGTTACTTTGTTTCTAAGTTTCGTCCAAAGAATCTCCAGAGACGCAGAGTACATTGAAACACCCTTCTGTCCTCTTATGTTTTCAGGATTGGAACCGGACATGGCAAACACACAATCCAGACCTGACACCATGTTTCCAGAACACAGTGCTGGTTTGGATACCATGCCTCTACCTCTGGCTGTTTGCACTGTTATACATCCTATACCTCAAAAGAAATGACCGTGGATACATATGCATGACCCACCTCAACAGAGCCAAAACAGTGAGTATTAACAAACAGGATTCCGGTACATTGCTTTTTATGTAGCAGTGTGCTTTGGGAGTGTGTTTACTGATAACTCTGCCAAGGTCAACAGCTGTTTCAAGGTCATGTGACTCTCCTCCAACAGGCTATTGGGTTTACCCTATGGCTTATCTGCTGGGCAGATGTTTTCTACTCTTTCTGGGAAAGAAGCCATGGTGCTACAATAGCCCCAGTCTACCTAGTCAGCCCTACAATGCTTGGCGTTACAATGGTGAGACCTGTTTTTTCACAAAAGGAAGTGCTGAATTAAACTACTTTGCTTGTAAATTACTCTTCGGCTTGCATTGATTTCATATTCAAATTACATGAAAGTATTCCACTTTCCTTGCCTCAAGGACAAATTCTCCCGAATACATTATTGTTTAAAAAATGGTCTAGTCATGGTCTTTTCTTAGACTGATGTTTACAAATTTGAAGTGTTTTGTAATTGGATGTGTTTTATATGTGTTTCAGTTGCTGGCTACGTTCTTGATCCAGTATGAGCGGATGAAGGGGGTCCAGTCCTCAGGGGTGATGCTCAATTTTTGGCTGATCACCATAGTGTGTGCTACAGTCACCTTTCACTCCAAGATTCTGCATGCATTGAATGAGGTAAATTTAAAACCGACAGTTTTGCAGTTCATGTAATGATATATATATATATTTTTTTTATTCCAGTGTGAATCAGATGTCTTGAGTCGTATGTGACTCAAATTTATTTAGTTTTTTTGTAGTCTGTATTTTGTATAAAACCGAGACAATCCATATTCATATGTGATTCCAAATGAGATTTTTTGGGGCAATTCACCCAGAGCCATTGAGAAACAGAGTTGCGACACTCCCATAGGCTTCCATAGGAACTGAGGAATGCGGAAGTAAAGCGTGTCATGGAGCAACCAATAATTCCAAACAACCAATAGTTCCAGTATTGAAGCCCATTAATTTCAGTGCTTCTCAAGCACACTCGCCATAAAGTTGAGGAAATTACAGCAGTTTTTGGCATTTTAACGCATTAGTTTACCTCTCGGAAATCTGGCCAGTAGTTGTATTTTATGAAACGCGTTTTAGTTAATGTTTAGTTTTAGATAATAGGCAGTTATGCTATATTTGCAGTTAGGCAACGTGAGAAATACCTTAATAGCGATCATAACCAAATGCTAGTTATCATATTTTTAAGTTTTTAGTCTTTCTGCAGTCTTTCTCTCCCTGTAGGAAGTTGAACGAGTTTCAGTGAAGACTGCCCATTAAAGGAATACAAGAAAGAGTTTCCCTGAATGCAGTTGGTTGCCTTGTGTTTTTTTTTAAACGTTATTTTAAATTTTTTATTGGGTTAAGTTCCGTATTTGCTGGCCTTTTTTAACATTCACTTATATTATCTTCTTACATAAATGTCATAAAATAATACTGGGATGTGAGTGTAACAACGTTCGTAGGTCGGGAAGAAGGAGGCGGGAACCGGCGAACATTTAAAGAAAACTTTAATAATAAAATAAACACAAAATAGTGCGACAGCCCCTCGCGGACGACTGTCGCGCACAAACAGAACCAAAACACAAAATAAAGTCCAGGCCTGGTCCTCTCTCGTCTTTCACTGTCGTCACTCCTCCTTTTATCCCTCCGGTGCTCCTCCGTGGGACTTGAGACCGGTGAGTGGTGCAGGTGTCGCTCATCATCAATTACTCCACCGGCCTCGCTCCGTTCCCACGGCTCTCGGCCCCGCCCCCACTCGTCACAGTGAGTAATTAATCTTTTTTTAATTTAACATAAAAAAAAAAAAAGAAAAAATTATAAACATTGAGTGTTTGATAATGTCTAAATAGACAATGCAAAACATAAAATAAATAAATAAATAAATAAGCTATTATGACCGGTAAAACTCTTTACAGCAACTAGAGTAGAGCTAAATATATGTAGGCTATATTTATTAAACAGTCATACGGGCATCTAGTGGTTAAACCATGGCATAACATAGGAATATTATTTTTCTGGCCACCAAACGTCTCTAATTTGCATCTTTGCACTGGAATTTAAAAACATTTTCTCTATTTTAACCCTAAATACTAATTGTAATATAAATAATAAGCTAATTGTAATATAAATAAGCATATTAGAAAAAATATTAAAGGGGTCATATGATGTTGCTGAAAATAACATTATTTTGTGTATTTGGTGTAATTAAATGTTTATGCAGTTTAAGGTTCAAAAAACACATTATTTTCCACATACTGTACATTATTGTTTCTCCTCTATGCCCTGCCTTTCTGAAACACGTCGATTTTTACAAAGCTCATCAGTCTGAAAAGCGAGGTGTGCTCTGATTGGCCAGCTATCCAGTACATTTTGATTGGCCAAATACCTCAAGCGTGTGACGGAAATGTTACGCCCCTTAACATACTGTGATGCCCTGTCAGGCCGGAGCGTAACATAAAACCATGTCTGCATTTGTGATCGGAGAAATGACAAACAACAAGCGCTACTCTACACTGCATTTAAATCGCATCATATGACCCCTTTTAATGCTGTCTCTTCATCACTCCCCAGAATAAAATACAATTGTAAAACGTAGTCAGCGTAGTTATCAATACACAATCAATGCACATGATGTGTTAATAATCACTAGAAATTGCTGCAGATATAGTGAAACTGCTGTCTATCCTACTTAAACCCATCCAAACATATTGACAGCACGGAGTTGTTTGGAATTATTGAGAGCTCCAGGAACCACGTGGCGGCGAGATCGAAGCGTGTCGCAACTCTGTTTCTCAACGGCTCTGAATTCACCTCAGTCTGAAATAGTAGATCACATTTTAAATAGCTTTTTGTCATTCGGAATGTGTTGTTTATAAAATGTCACACAAATTGGGCAAAAGAGCTCTGCCTGAATAGACTTATTTTTGTTCACTCTTTCCTCATATAGTGAACTGTGTAATAGAGAATTGTGTATGAGTGAATGAATGAATCAGCAGTTTTAGATGCAGTAAATGCATGAATATGTAAAATGACTCTGTTGCTCGTGATCGCTCATGTGCCATGTGGGTTCTGTGGCTCAGCAGAGGCCAAATTTCCTGTCCCTTCCCACACTGATAGCTACTCTTCAGTTTCTGTAGAAGAAAGTTTCTCAGTATTATGTTGACTGTTACATCATTAATATAGCAACAACCAATATACTGTAGTTATTGAAATACGGGATATTGAACAAACCGGATAAACAGATCATATTTCATCAATTGCATAAGGACAGTCAGTTCTAAAGTACAGATTAAAAAAAACAAATCAGGTTTGTTTGAAATGTGAGCAAACCCTTAAAGTGTTGTTTGGTCTTTCCTTTCAGCCTGCCAGTGTGAATGTGTTCAAATATACCACTTTCTACATATATTACACCATGCTGCTCATCTCCCTGATCCTGGCCTGCTTGTCCGATCAGCCTCCGCTCTTTTCACAGGCTGTCAGAGACTTGGTTAGTGAACTTTACTTAAAGAAGGTAGAGGTATGCTTTATTATATGGATGTTGAATTGATGGCCAGTACTATGAATGTGTTTGTGCAGAATCCATGTCCAGAGTCGGGAGCTTCATTCCTCTCCAGAATCACTTTCTGGTGGATCACGGGGTGAGCAGAATGAATGACTGCATTTCTAACACTCTTCCTTTTAAAAAAAATAATTTTGCACAACAAGAATTTTGACGTATCTAGAAGTTGTATTCTGGCTCATGTAATTTCTTGATCCCATTCGTCCCATTAATTTCTATCTTCTCTAAAAATTTCTCTTCTATCTTCTCTCTACTATCTATATCAGGTAAAAGTATTGAAGGAGCCATCATTTTGCTAATGAATAAGCTTGTATTCAGGCTGAGTGTTGTTACTTGTTAATGCATGTCCCTTTCTTTTCCTCATAGATTGATGGTGACGGGTTACAAAAGGCCTCTGGAAGAGAAGGATCTGTGGTCGCTCAACACAGAGGATAAGTCTCAAAGAGTGGTGCCACAGCTGGTGCGCCGCTGGGACCAAGAATGCAACAAGGTCAAAAGGTCAGAAGCGAGAAGTAAATTTTTTCCCCCCTCCAAATAGACAAGCTTATGGATTTACTACAAAAATGACTAATCCTCTGATTGGGTTATGCTTTTTGTTTTAGGCCAGTAGATAAGACACTCTACTCCCCAAAAAGATCAGCAAGGGAAGAAAAGAAGGATGGACAACCAATTGAAGAGTCAGAGATTTTGCTTGTGAAAACCCTTAAAAAAACAGGCGACCCTTCTCTCTTCTGCGCTCTCTGCCGAACCTTTGGACCGTATTTTCTAGTCAGCTCTCTGTATAAGATTGTTCATGACATCCTGATGTTTGTTGGGCCGGAGATTCTCAGGTATGAATATACAGCATCAGAATCCGATATAATTCCCATCTGAGCTGAATTCAGAAGCAGTAGTAAAGTGCAAAGTGTTAAGGAAAAGTGGAAGTGTTCCCTCTGTGTTTTCACAGTCATGTGGTTAGAAATTACTTTAACTCGGTAGGAAGGCCACTCTGTCAAAACAACAGCTGTGCATCTTAAAAGAGCTTCAGTGAAGAGTTAGTTTTGGCATGCTGAAAAGTTGTGCCATCAAATTGTGCACTGGACCATTTTCAAATCCTCTCTAATCCTTTGAAAATAACACCTGAAGTCTCAGCAGTGAGCCTTTAACCAGTTTGCCCACTTTTCTTGCACTTGAATCCAGAAGATCTGCATTCTGCTGCTGGATTGACATATTAATTTATACTCATGTGAGTTTGTTCTTTTGTTTCTTAGGCTACTGATCCAGTTTGTGAATGATTCAAGTGCCCCCGATTGGCATGGCTACTTCTACACCACCCTGCTGTTCGTTTGTACCTGCGTGCAAACCCTCATTCTGCAGAAATATTTCCACGTTTGCTTTGTGACCGGCATGAGGTTACGTACGGCCATTGTTGGTGCTGTGTACAGGAAAGTAAGTGGATTCTTGAATGCTAAAATATCTGCAACAGGGTGTAATATGATGTTTATGCACATTTGGAGGTTATTTGTTACTTTTTCATATTTAGAGCTCTCAGAGATTCAAGAAACTGGAATTAATGCATTTGCCAATGTGAATAGGCCATACTTTAACTCTCAAAACAGTTTTATGAAAACGAATATGTCTTTTAAAGTGCATATTTTGATGTTTTATGTTTTTGAAAGAACAACATGCTCACCAAGGCTGCAGTTATTTGATCAAGAAAACAATTTAAAATGTTTGTATTGTGTAATACATTTAAAAAAAAATGTTTTTTCCTGTGATGGCAAAGCTGTATACTATAAATGTCTTTTTCTGTAACTTTTGATCAATGTAATGCTTCCTTGCTGAATAAAATAATGAATTTCTTTTTTTTTTTTAAATGTAATTATTATTATTTTTTTTAAATAAATATATATATTACTGACTCCAGTGTTTTAATGGTAGTGTAGATTTATAATATTTTCCTTCATTTTGTCAAGGCCTTAGTCATTACCAATGCTGCCCGGCGAACATCCACTGTCGGAGAGATTGTGAATCTGATGTCTGTAGATGCTCAGCGTTTTATGGACCTCATCACCTATATCAACATGATTTGGTCAGCACCTTTGCAGGTTATCCTGGCCCTTTATTTCCTGTGGCAGGTATGTGCCTACACGAAGGTGCCTCGGCTTGTATGCTCATTTCATTACACATCACTAATACCTGTTATTATGTATTTATTTATTTATTGCTCTTTTGTTATCAGAATCTGGGACCTTCTGTGCTTGCTGGAGTTGCTGTGATGGTGCTAATGGTTCCTCTAAATGCAGTCATTGCCATGAAAACTAAAACTTACCAGGTTTTGAACCTCTTTTCCTGCTCAGCAGGTTTATTTGCCTCAATTTCGTTAATTAGATCATCTTTGTTAATCTGACACCCTCACCCACAGGTTGCCCAAATGAAAAGCAAGGACAATAGGATCAAGCTTATGAATGAGGTGCTGAACGGCATTAAAGTGCTTAAACTCTACGCATGGGAACTGGCGTTCAAAGACAAAGTGTCTGCCATCCGAGAGAGTGAATTGCGTGTGCTTAAGAAGACTGCTTACCTTGGTGCTGTGTCCACCTTTACTTGGGTCTGCGCACCATTTTTGGTAGGTGGTGCCTTTGAATTCCAGTCCTGCATGGGCTTTTTCATGATTATGCCCACTGTTTTTGATGCTACCCTGTGGTTGTCTTGTCTCTTTCACAAAGGTTGCCCTCTCCACATTCGCAGTATATGTGTTAGTGGATGAACATAATATTCTGGATGCACAGAAGGCATTTGTTTCTCTGGCCTTGTTCAACATCCTGCGCTTCCCTCTTAATATGTTGCCCATGGTCATCAGCAGCATGGTGCAGGTACTACTCTCTTTCTTTCTCTCTCTTTCTTTTTAAAAAAACGTTGAATGTGAACCTTGTAATACCTTGGAATATGGTATAAGTTGTCAAATCTTAAACGTTTTTGGACCACTTGTGATCAGATCAAAAGGTTAACATGGAAATCCAGGAACTTGTCATCTGATTTTGATTTTTATTATGACTGTGAAATGTATTGCTTCCTTCAGGCCAGTGTGTCTATGAAGCGCCTGCGTGTGTTTCTGTCCCATGAGGAGTTGGATGAAGACAATGTGGAGAGGCCAGCCATCAGTTCATGTGAGTCCAGTGATTCACAAGCAGTTCAAATCTGCAATAAAACAAATGTGCCATATTATGTGGCATGTATTTTTTAGTATGCTGTGCATGTTTGACTCCCAAAGCACTGCAGTCCCCAAACAGTTTCCACAGACAGACATAAAACAGCTTTGTATGAGAGAGTAGCAGCTGTTCAGTAGATCTGTGGGTTTAAAGACATATCGTGTGTTTTGATGTTCACTTAAGAGACTACATTGTTGTTTCCTGCTTATTTAGCTCCAGACAGCATCAGGATTGTGGACGGAGCTTTCAGCTGGTCTAAAGGCGACTCCCCTACTTTGAAGAGGTAACACCATTTTCTTAGCGTGTAAAAGATACAGTATGTGATCCAATGAATAGCATCTTGTTCAGTGTTATTGAGTACTAGGGATGGGAATTGTACAGAATTTCACGATTCTGATGAAAGATTCCATGATTTTATAAGAAGCACCACTCTCCCTCAACAAATATAGCGCCTATTTGAGCCCTGGAAAGGCGCTATATAAATAAAACTTATTATTATTATTATAATAATAAGTCTAACATAAGACTGATTGTGAATAGGACTATACTGGTCGTAGAATATTTTGTTGTTGCATGCAACAGTGACAATGCAAAAGTATTTATTAGTAAGTAAGTATATTACTATGTTTCTGCCCACATTGGAAAACATTGAAGAACCATTAATAGAACGTCATGACAATCATTTGATTTTTATGCTTAATAACCGTTATCAAATCCCAACCCTATGTACTCTACACAAATGTACTTATATTCAAGGCATCAAAATGACTTTTAGCATTGACATGAATATTGCGATTACATAGAGCAGAACCAGTGAAACAGGCTACTGAGGACATTACAGGCAAGTACACGTGCATGAACCCCGATACAGGAGAGCATCAATCGCCAGAGGAAATGTAATCTGGTGAATCTCCTCTGATATTAATGAGAGGGATAATGAAATTTGGGTTGCCGAATTGCTTTCAATCTTAGCTTAATCTCATTTGCTTCAAATCATGTATTGAACTGTGTAATTTGACTTGCATTATTGTTCACTGTAAATTCAATTGTTAATATCAGTACACTCTGAAAGATTTGCCCATAATCTTCAATCAACAATGAAGTGAATGAAGAAATCCTACTGAATGAATGCACCCTTTATACCTTTATGACACAATGCCGCCTGTGTCCATATGTTGCTTGAACTGTTTGTTGTTTTTTGTATCTTTTCTTGTCTCAGCGTGTCTCTCTCTCTCTTCAGGATTAATGTGCGTATTCCTGAGGGGGCGTTTGTTGCTGTGGTAGGGCATGTGGGTTCAGGGAAATCCTCTCTGCTTTCAGCTTTGCTGGGAGAGATGCAGAAGCAAGAAGGATCTGTCTCGATCAAGGTACAGACACAAGCTATGTGCTTTTGCTGTATGTTGTATTTCTTTAGAACAAGGTTGCCTGAAATGATTTTGTGTGAAAACAGTGGCTCTTGAATTAAGTGCTCTGTTGTATTTGAGTTAAATAGATTATGTATGCACTGGGGCTCAAACATATTTTAGTCCACTAGGGTTTTCTTTTATAATTTAATATTTTATTATGCATTAAATACAGTGGGTATAGAAAAGAATCACCCCCCTTTAAAATAATCACATTTTGTTGCTTTGCAGCCTGAAATGAAGATGGACACATTTTTGGATTTATCCAGCTGTATTTACTCAGTGCAACTTATAACATCCAAGCGAAAGATACCATCATGTCAGAAAAAAAAAATCACAGAGTTGGAAAAAGGATCACCCCCTTGTGTCAGTATTTTGCTGAACCACCTTTTGCTTTAATTACAGCCTTTAGTCTGTTGGGATATGACTCTTCTAACTTTGCACATCTAGACTTTGCTATATAGTTAATAGACTTCGTAGAACTGCTCAAGTTCAGTTCAATTTGATGGTGACCATTTGTGGACTGCAGTCTTCAAGTCATTCCACAGATTTTCAATGGGCTTTAAGTCTGGGCTCTGACTAGACCAAGAAAGGATATTCACCTTTTTCTCCTTCAACCACTGTGTGCTCAGTTTTGCTATGTGCTTTGGGTCATTGTCATGTTGGAAGGTAAACCTTCTTCCCATTGACAACTTTCTGGCAGAGGGCAGCAGATTTTCCTCAAGAATTAGAAGGTATTTTGCCCTATCCATTTTTCCTTCTCTCCTGACAAGTGCTCCAGTCGCTGCTGCAGAGAAACAGCCCCATAACAGGATATTACCACCTCCATGCTTTACTGTAGGAATGGGGTTATTTGGATGGTGAGCTGTATTGGATTTCTGCCAGACGTATCGTTTGGTGTTGATGCCAAATAATTCAATTTTAGTCTCATCTGACCTCTGAATCTTCAAGGTGTGTTTCGGCAAAGCTCAGTCATGACTGCATGTGGCCTTTCTTGAGGAGTGACTTTTTTTCTTGCAACCCATACAAGCCACATTTGTAGAGAATTTGTGATATTGTTGTCACATGCACACAATGACCACTCTTTGTCATAATTTCCTGCAACTGCTTCAGAGTTGCTGTAGGCCTCTTGGTCGCCTCTCTGACCAGTTTCCTCCTGGCTCTTTCATCCAGTTTGGAGCGACGTCCTGATCCGGGGGAGGGTCTGTGTTGTACCAAATACCTTCCACTTCTTAATAATAGACTTCACTGTGTTTCTAGTAATTGATAAAGCCTTTGACATTTTTTTGTATCCATCTCCTGACTTGTGCCTGTCCACAGCTTTATCCCGGAGATCTCTTGACAGTGCCTTGCCACCCATAGTTGGTAGATTGTTAGTAGATTGTTTGCTTCAGCTGCACTACCAAGGACTGAAATGCTCCAGGAAAGCTCTTTTCATGCTGAGCTGATCAAAATGACCACAGCTGATCACAGTTGAAAGTCAAATGGCTTTGTGTGCCATTAAGAAGGTGATTAGCTACACCTGATTGAGTTTACAAGTCATTTTTAGGAGGGGGTGATCCTTTTTCCAACTCAGTGATTCTGTTTTTTTTTTCTGACATGTTGGTGTTATTTCTTTCGCTTGGATGTTGTAAGTTGCACTGAGTAAATACAGCTGAATAAAACAAAATCTTTATTTCTGGCTGCAAAGCAACAAAATGTGATTATTTTAAAGGGGGGTGATTATTTTCTATACCCACTGTATAATTGACTATATATTAAATATATTAATATTCTTTCATAAAATATTCCATAGCTTTTATATTACATCATTTCATTATATTAGCAGCATAACAATGTAATAACGTCTTAGTATTTGGTTTGTTCCCTTGAGTGGCATTAGCTCTACAGGGCTGTGGTCAAAATCAAATGCGATTTTCATGCGCATCTCGTCAGTAAAGCCGCTCCTGTGATTAGTAGTAAATCTCCAGCACGTGCTTTCAGATGGAGCAGTATTTACTACACAGAGCTGTAGTTCACTGACAAGCTACACAAAATCGCAGGCGATTCATTGCCGATTTTGAACGCGATTTTGCGTAGCTTGTCAGTGAACTACGGCTCTGTGTAGTAAATAACACTCCATCTGAACGCACGTGCTGGAGATTTACTAATAATCACAGGAGCGGCTTTACTGACGAGATGTGCATGAAAATCGCATTCGATTTTCTGCACAGCCCTAGCTCCACATGATTTGAAAATGAGCCAAAAAGCATCTTGTATGACTGTGAAAGCAAGAACATCTGACTGTCACATAATCAATGTCCCAAATTTATTTATTTTATTTTGAAAAGCTGTTCATTTCATGTCATAACTGTTCTTTGTTTTGATTTATTAATAACAATGCCTTAAAGACATTTAAACATTAATAATGGGAGGATAAAGAAATGCATTGAGTATCTGACTGTTTTTCAGGGCTCTGTGGCTTACGTGCCTCAGCAGGCCTGGATTCAAAACGCCACTCTCAAAGACAACATTTTGTTTGGACGGGACGGAAAAGACAGCTGGTACCAGAAGGTGGTGGAGGCGTGTGCTCTCCTACCAGACCTGGAGATCCTACCTGGAGGAGACTCGACAGAGATTGGGGAGAAGGTAAATAAAGACTTCAGAATGATTCTTACAATTTGTCCTAACCAAGCACGATAGATTGAAGGTTAAAGCTGCATGCTGTCACAGGCTGCTTTTAATGCAACAATTTGACATTATTTAAATATGTAATAGCAGTCAGTTGGGTTAATCATATGACATTGTAATTTTAGGGCGTGAATCTGTCTGGAGGTCAGAAACAGCGGGTGAGTGTGGCCAGGGCTGTGTACTGCAACTGTGCAGTGTATCTGCTGGATGACCCGCTCTCTGCCGTGGACGCTCATGTGGGAAAACACATCTTTGAGAAGATCATCGGACCTCAGGGGTTGCTACAGGGCAGAGTAAGGCCATTTAGTCATGTATTATCCAAATATGTATACATCTCTTATAGGCATTTCACATCACACATGGAACTCTTACAGACTCGTGTTCTGGTGACGCACGGGCTGAGCTTCCTGCCCCAGGCTGACCTGATCTTGGTGATGGTGGATGGAGAAATCACAGAGATGGGCTCTTACACTGAGCTGCTGGGCAGACAAGGCGCTTTCGCTGAGTTCCTGCATACCTACACCAACACGGAGCAGGAGGAGGTGGAGGAGTCAGTGGGAGGTGAGGCTGGCCGCTTCATATCTGAACTTCTTTCATGCTTTCATGCATCTGTCCTTTCATATAGCCAGTTCCTCTAAATGATTACTATTGTTCATATTGTGTGTGTTATCTTTTTGCCAAATTATTCTGTGTCTAGTGATCTTTTTTGTCTGTACATCTATGTTTTCATAATTTCTTCTTATTTGTTGTGTCCCCTCTGTTGGCTCTTCAGAGGAGGGATGGGAGGCGGAGGACGAAAAAGGGAAATCTGAAGGTTTGAGGGTGTAATTGGTCCCCGGGCCATATAAATTGAATAGGCCTGCTTGTACTGCATGTTAGAATAGGGCTTATTATCCTGGTCTGAGGCCTGAAATGTGTGAGGTGCACACTGAGTTTTTTAGTACTTTCCCACTTCATTGCCATTGGACTATAGCTCACAAACCTTAGATTTACATATTACACATTCTTGCACTGTACTCCGTTTTGATGGAGTAAATGGTACCCCTTGTCTCAGTAATAGAATTTGATCTCTTCTCAACTCACTTGAGAGCTGAGCAATGAGGTAACTGGCTGTTACTACATTACTCACATACAACACTTGTAATATTGTGAAATATTATTACAATTTAAAATAAATAACTCTTTTCTGTTGTAGTATATTTTAAAATGTAATGTATTTCTGGGATGGTAAAGCTGAATTTACAAAGCTGAATTGACATAATCCTTCAGAAATCATTTTAATATGCTTGTTGGATGCTCAAATAATTTTTGAAATAGTATTCTTTGAATAGAAATTTCAAAAGAACAAAATTTATTTGAAGTAGAAAAGGTATTTACACATGATGATAATTTAATTTAAGGTATACAGGGAAATGTCTTTGCAATCTGTGCAGGACATTTACATTCATTTATTTTTATTTTTTTAGAATGGAGCACTGTGAATGGCTTCAACATGTGGCCTTCACCAGTCTTGTCGCTGTGTCAGTTCCTCATATGTCTGAGGTAGAGGTCTTCTCGGGTCCTAAAATCTGTACCCGACCTGAATCACTTCTTACCCGAACCCGACGTGCATAAATTATTTTTTTTTAAAGAAAAACCTGACCCAAAACAGATCCGATGAAATTAGACCCGAGTCCGACCCGACGGCATTTATTTTCGAACCCAACTGGACCCGAACGTAAACGGCATTGACGTGTGTACAGCCTGCAGCCCCGCAGTCAATCAGGAAAAATCCCGGTGTTCTGCTGACTGATTTGGCCACTTCTGCATTACTTTGATTTATTTAACATTTATTCAATTTATTATTAGGCTACTTTATATTAGTGCCTGCCTGATGGATACAAGTTCTTTCTGAGCTCGGCTTTCAATTGTGACCAGTGGATTTGAAAAATAAACATGATAGTTTGATAAAAAATAAATCGATAGCCTAATAATTAATGGATTCGCTAGTGTTGAATGCACTGATCTCCGGCGAAACGCTTCTGCACACAAAAAAGAAAAGCCCTGAATGAACACGCAGTATAATGAAGTGAGTGGATTTTCCCGATGAATCTTGTATCTATAAGATGATTTCTGTGTGCGAGGTTACAAATGTATGCTCCTTTTCTATGTGCGTTCCTCACTTAACGCGAAAGTGAAAGTAACCTACGCATTCGGGATAGTTTAAAAGAATTCGGGTCTAATCGGGTCCATTTGGAAAAAGCATGTTTATTTTAAATTACCCGAGACCCGAGGCCGCTAATACCAAACCCGACCCGTGTCCGAGGTACTCGTCGAAGTATTGGACCCGAACCTGCTCAGGTCTCGGGTCGGACCTCGGGTTTTCGAATCCAAGTGGACCCGTGAAGACCTCCAGTCTGAGGTGCTGGGCAGCCTGCTGGTGATTCTTCTAACCTTCACCTCTGAGCCTAAAACTAATGTCTGCAGTTTTGATAGACTGTCTTTCATTTCAGCAGGCCTGAGAGGTGTGGTTGCTTAGAAGCAAATTATGATGGCCTTTTATTGCCATGTTAAATATAGACATGTTTGTACTCAAGTGTAGCCCGGGATTTTAGTCACTGCTTGATTACATAATTTGTTGCAAAAGGATTGTGTTGCGTAGGTGCTTTTGAATGCCATGACTTCTAGATAATAAGAAAGCTTGTCTTCTGTAACTTAGAATGGTTTAAAAAGTCATTGGTACAAGTATGGATGTGGAAAAGCATGAAGCATGCAGGAAGATGTGTGTAATTCTGATTTGATATATATTTTCTCATCCATAGAAGCAGTCCCACGGAAAGGACTTGAGAATGGGGGTCCTGCTGCCATGTTGGGGTAAGAGATACCCAATACCTTTTCTGATTTATTTCTTTGTTCTTAATAAACACTGTGTCTAGACCTGTTGCAGCATGATGAATCACTAGCGGCGAGACATTTTGTCTTTCCCAATTTGTGCATTGCTTTCTGTATGTCTTCTGATGTCATATGATAGATTTGTGTGAGAAACAGGTGGAAATTTAATTGGTTATTCACTGATGATCTGCTTTGTGAGCTTGAGAAACATGGTGACGAAAATCATGGGTCCTTGAATCAGTCATTGCTACTTCTCTCATGAATTCCAAATGCCGTTCATCAGTTTGACAGATAAAAAACAAGAACAAAACCATGTAAATCTATGCATCAGATCTTGCATGATGTGTATGCTCACTCACTCATTTGTGCTAGATATTATAAATCACTTGTGTTACGGTTGATAAGGACGCTGTGTTATATCTAACAACCATTTAACATTTAAGTCATGTACTAACAATATTTTGACATTATTTACTAGCCTGGTGTTTCTCTGTGTCCTGTAGGCAGAGTCTGAACTCTCTCAATGCAGCAGGCACAGGTAAAACCCCACAGAAAACTGAACCTAATGATGTTGCGACCGCAAAGAAGACCAAATCTGCAGAAGCTGCCCGACTAACTGAGGCTGACAAGGCCAACACTGGCAGGGTATGAGTCAGTTGTCTCTGTGTCAGGATGTTAGAGCATGGTTCCTTTTTCCATTTAATTTTGAGATTTAGTGAATATTGTTTGTTATGCAGGTGAAGCTGTCTGTGTTTTGGGAGTACATGAAGGCTATCGGCTTGCCCCTGTCCATCTTCAGTATCTTTCTGTTCTTCTGTCATCATCTGTCCTCTCTGGGCTCAAACTACTGGCTCAGTCTCTGGACAGATGACCCTGTTATCAACAACACACAGCCCAACAGAGAGATGCGTTTAGGGGTGTATGGAGCCCTCGGAATCTCACAAGGTCATTTAAGAGACATTCAGATTGTTGTGTGTGATTGCTTATATTCACATTTGAAATTCCTGAAAACTGTTTTTAATATGACAACTTTTATATAAATAGAAAAAAGTTCTCACCAACAGTGAAGTTTTGAGCTATGTGGTCACTGTTGGTTAGAACTTGTAATAAATAATTTTTTCACTTTATGGAGCTTTGGTGTGCCAGCTTTTTCCTTAATGTCATCAAATCAATAAATACTCACCGTCCAAAATTCACTTTTAAAAGGTTTTCTTTTCTTTTCTTTTTTTTAAAAATACCATCTTAATTTCATAGGTGAACTATACCTGCCAATTAGTAATGATGGTATTTTCTTCGTATTTTAAATAAACCAATATGTTAAATTGCAGCCCCTTAAAATAATTTTAATGTAATGCATTTTTATGCAATTCAACATCTTTTTTGTATGAAATGTTTGTTATTAATATATGTCTATGTAGTTCTTTATATGTTTTTTTTATTATTATTATTATTATTATTAATTAGCTTATTGGTCCAGAAACCATTTTGGAGCTAGCTTTTGAAACCTTTTTTTTTTTCTTCTCTGATAGGCATTGCAGTGTTCTGCTATTCTGTGGCGGTGTCGGTTGGTGGGATCTTAGCCTCCCGCTACCTGCACCAGACGATGCTCTACAACATCCTGAGATCACCCATGTCTTTCTTCGAACGCACACCCAGTGGCAATCTGGTCAACCGCTTTGCCAAAGAGACAGACACCATTGACTCGGTCATCCCTAGCATCATAAAAATGTTCATGGGCTCAATGTTTAATGTGCTGGGCTCATGTGCTGTCATCCTCATTGCCACGCCACTGGTAGCCATTATCATCCCACCGCTGGGCCTGTTCTACTTTTTTGTACAGGTCAGTCAGTTGTTTTACCTTGCGGCTGCATGATAGGTAAGGCTAGCAACTCTCTAGACTAAAATAGATTTAAATAGAAAATATTTGAGATCTAAAACTTCAGTGTAAGTGTAATCATTTGCTGGGTGCTGCTCTAACATTTGTCTTTTCATCTCTGTTAGCGTTTTTACGTGGCGTCCTCTCGGCAGCTGAAACGACTGGAGTCTGTGAGCCGCTCTCCTGTCTACACACACTTCAACGAGACACTGCTGGGCACCAGTGTGATCAGAGCATTTGGAGAGCAGCAGCGCTTCATCACAGAGAGTGACGGCAGAGTGGACCACAACCAAAAAGCTTATTTCCCCAGCATTGTAGCCAACCGGTGAGAATTCACAGAACCTCACATGATTTTACCATTAGGTTAGATGTATTAGTGTTTCGTTTTTTGGAAAGCTGATGATTTGATGTGTCTTTGTGCCTCTGTGTCCTGCAGATGGTTGGCAGTGAGGTTAGAGTTTGTGGGAAACCTTATTGTGACATCTGCAGCGCTTTTTGCTGTGATGGCCAGGGACAGTCTGAGTCCAGGTATCATGGGGCTGTCCATCTCTTATGCGCTGCAGGTCAGTCTAACTTCTAAAATGATGAGATACAGACCAGATGTCCACTCAAATCCTTACTAGTTACATATTTCTCACAGGTCACAGCATCTCTGAACTGGCTGGTGCGGATGTCGTCTGAGCTGGAAACTAGCATAGTGGCGGTGGAGAAGGTGAAGGAATATGGAGACACAGAGAAAGAGGTCAGTGCACCAGCAGGCAGATTGTGTGCGTTCATTCTGTACTTGTGTAGAGTCCAATCTGTGATTAGCCCTGTTCCCTCTTTTATCTCTCACTGTACTAGAGAGATGAGGATTGTTAGCACACAGGGAGGGGTGGGGGATAATATGTCCACAAGATGTGGCACTAGTTTCTGGAAAGAATTTGGGTAATTTATTTATGGCTATGATTATTTAGGCTACAATTTGCATTAATATATGAAAGGAAAGTGTATGTGTGAGATCTTGTAACTGATCTTTTTTTTTTTTTTTTCATTTGGTATGCTGACCACTGGTCACGTTTTTATTTTATTTTTATTTTTTACTATTTCTAATGAACTTTTTTCCTTCATTTGTTCATTGTAAATGGACTAGCGGAGTGAAAAATGAAATTTTAAGTGATTTTTAAAATGATTAAAAAATTAAAATGATTACATACACTTTATAAATATTAGATTCATTACACGATCATTCAAAAGTTGTGCTCAGTAAGATTTCTTTAAAAGAAGTTAATACTTTTATTCAGCAAGGATGCATTAAATTAATCAAAAGTGACAGTAAGGACGGTATCACAGTTTCCACAAAAAAAACATTTCAGCATTGATAGTAATAAATGTTTCTTGAGCAGCAAGTCAGCAGATTAGAATGATTTCTGAAGGATCATGTGACATTGAAGACTGGAGTAATGATGCTGAAAATTCAGCGTTGCATCACAGGAATAAATTACATTTTAAAATATATTAAAATAGAAGACAGTTATTTGAAATAGTAAAAATATTTTACAAAATTGCTGTTTTCCCTGTATTTGTGATCAAATAAATGCAGCCTGGTTGAGGAAAAGATACTTTTTTTCAAAAACATTTGAAAAAATCCTACCCTCACCGGACTTTTTAACGGTACTGCAATTAGCAAAATTAGTTGATTAAAATAGTATTAGACGAACTATATAGCATGTTACACTGCAGGACGGGTCAACTTCCTGAAAGTATTTCAGGTTAACTTCATGTATTTCTGGTTTCAATGTTAAAGATGGATTGTTGAGATGTGATTGGTCTATGCTGCATTAATGTCTCTGTTTACAGGCTGAATGGAGGTTGGAGCACTCCACTCTGCCTGCTGGCTGGCCGACCGCTGGTCATATTGAAATCCACAACTTTGGCTTGAGATACAGAGAGGACTTAGAGCTGGCTATTTCTGATATCTCGGTCAACATTGAGGGAGCAGAAAAGGTGCGTGGAGCCATTACAATATTCAGAATCAGTTCAAGCTAATAAACAATGTTCATTTAGAAATCTATTCACCTAAAATTTCCTTATAAACACGCAAAGTTAATCATGTATGTATTTGTGTGTTTTTCTTAGGTGGGAATTGTGGGTAGGACAGGAGCAGGAAAGTCCTCTTTGACATTAGGGCTCTTCCGCATCATCGAGGCAGCTCAAGGGGAGATCCGTATAGATGGAGTCAACATTGCTGAGCTGGGCCTGCATGAGCTACGATCCAGAATCACAATCATTCCTCAGGCACTGGACTTAAATACACCTAAACATTCATTTAAAGTCACTCATTTGAGGATATCACTATTAAAGTTTTCAAATTGATGTTTTCCTTTCAGAATGATTTCATTTTTTCAGTTAACTTGCCAATGAGAATTGAGCTGTTTTAGTTTTAGTTTTTCTTTTGTATTTCTAAACACCTTTTCCTCTGTCCCAGGATCCAGTGCTGTTCTCTGGTTCCTTGCGTATGAATCTGGACCCCTTTGATGGCTACACTGATGAGGAGGTCTGGAGAGCTCTGGAACTCGCACATCTCAAGAACTTTGTGTCTGGCCTGCCTGACAAACTCAACCATGAGTGTTCAGAGGGAGGAGAGAATCTCAGGTATAAACACCTTCTCAACAATGTTTATTCTTCATTTGACTAAAATCTAATATGACTGTTTCTGACTGTTTCAGTTTGGGTCAGCGGCAGCTGGTTTGCCTGGCTCGAGCTCTCCTCAGGAAGACCAAGATTCTGGTTTTGGATGAAGCCACTGCAGCTGTAGACCTGGAGACGGACAATCTGATACAGTCCACTATCCGAACTCAAAACTTCAAGAATATTAAATAATAATATAAAGTTATAAATAATAATAAAATATAAAGACTACACCAACACTATATTATATATTGTTATATAATAATATTTAAAATGTTTATGTAGCACTAAATATTTCCTAACATTTTTCTTGAAAGGGTGCTGGTTCTCGATAAAGGCCAGATGGCAGAATTTGATTCTCCGTCCAATTTAATTGCCAAGAAGGGAATTTTCTACAAGATGGCCAAAGACTCAGGTTTGGTCTGATAAGTAGAGGGGCTGAAGAGCCCTCTGTTCATCTAGGACATATCACTGGGTAGAGCCCATGGAGAGTGGACCTTGTGAGACATGGACTCTGAAGGTACCTCTTCTGTGGGCCTGGAGCTCACACACATAGTGTGAACATGACACCACTCCATCCTCAGCTACTGTAGCCTTCTGTTTTCAATCACATTTTAAAGGTTTCACTGCAAATGCTGCTTTGGAGGTTGTTTGATGCCAACATTTGGGATGTTTGAAACTAGTTTGATTTCTTCACGGCTGTTTTTCTTGTCTGTTTTCATTTGGAAGACTTCTCACTTTTCCACTAAGCCGCACTTTCCTGTTGATTGATAGTAATGAAAACAATTATATTTGCATCATTGCTTCACTAGAAAGAGTAAAGAACAAAGTTTCTCTGAGCATTGTACCACTGATGCAGTGATAATACTGACCAAACAGCTGCTGGGAAATCCCTCCATGAGCATCAGGTGCTTCATCCCAAGCCAAAGTTAATATTTGAAGGTATTCTCATTATCAAAAAAAAGTTCCCTAAAGAGACACATTAGAAAATTCTAGTCATCTCCAGATAGCCATTGATTTCTCTCATTTAATCCTTATTTATAGTTTTGAGAAAATCTGTTACAATATTTCTTTTTTCACATAAAATTATTTCATCATATAACATATTTATTACTGGGTATCTCCCACTAATGGCGACTTAAGCCTCATCTTACCAATATCATGCAGTAGAGTCTACACTGACCTTCTGTTTTCATTGGTAATGTATTTAGTTGGCGTATTTGATTTATGATCTTTGTTGTTTACTATTATTTCTCAGTGATTATTTCACCAAAAATTATGAATGCACTTATTGTTCTGTGTAAAAAGGGCAAACTAGGGTTAATATTTTAGGTTTGGTGGGAGTGATATTATTTTAAAAACAAGTAGGAATTATGCTATATCACTTTAAGGTCAGATACCCAAATCATAGTGGTTCTTTAAAGGACAGGTTATCAAGTAGATGGCGTACCTGTTGAGCTGTGTGCTGTGTGCTTCACTCTGTGTGCTGTATACCATATATCTGTTGAATGTACGCTTGAGTGCGCGACGTAGTTTCATTCATCAGTACCTATACTCTAGATCATTTAAGCCTTATGAGGCCAATCAGTTTTTTTTTTTTAAAAGAACTGACAAAGACAGACTTAAAATGATTTTAAAAAAAAAAAGATAAATCTGATTTGTTACATATTTATATGAATTGTATGTAAGCATAAAGATATTATTTGCTATTTGTATACATGCACTAGTTTTAAGTGTGCTTAGTTTCATAAATCAGGCTGATGTGTACAGGGTAAATATGAATAAATTTTTGTAAAGAGCCTTTTGTTAGTGTTTTAACTTGAGCTCATTATTTTGTACTTCGGAAATCAGTCTCTCGAAATGTGATTTTGTCAAAGTGAGAAAGAAATTAATTTCTGATCAATACTACCAACATTTATTTTACTGAAGCTGCTCAGAAAATAAGAGCATGTTCAAGTTTGACAGTCTCACATGAAGTGTGCCTGGAAATGTTATAAATATATAAAAATAGTTATTATACAGTACAAAATACATAAATACTGATTTAAACTTTTAGATTATGGAAAAAATACAGGTATTAATACACACAGACAAATTCTGTATAAGGATGGGTGGGTGTTGCATTGTTTTTAACATGAATGGATGTTTCTCACATCATAAATAGCTTAAAATAGATGCAACTTTCACCTTTATGGGAATTTAGGGTTTAATGTGCTGACATAATAATTAATAAATTCTTGTAACAACCTGAAAAGGTTCAAGTAGAATTGCAACTAGTTCTACAGCTGTGTCTTGCCAGGATCTATAACAATTAACTACAAATTTCCACAAAACTTCACTTTGACAGCAATGAGAGGTGGTGAACATGGCTGTGCACACTGACCATCTGAAGTGTGCATTACATTGACCTACTGAACACCTCTATGGTAAGATAACGTTACTCAAGTCTTTGTATTCTGAGATGAGATTGTTGACGACATGAGGGAATCGGTCTGTTCCTTTAGCACCTCAGACGTCAGTTAAAGAATCAGCAGGAGAATGCTGAAGCACACCGCTTCTGTAATACTGGAAAAACGTGGACACCTGCTGAAGTAGAACAGCTATTACGAGCAAAACCTCTTCATCCTGAGCTTTGTGCTTCTCTTGATTGAGAAGGCAAGATGTGTCCTTTAGTAAGTTCTGTGATGAAAAGATTCGGGTAGTCTCAGCAAGTGTATTAGTGAGATTTTCTTCACCATTTTTATAGTCTCTCCTGAATGAAGAGATGATTTTGTCATTGGTTGTTCTTCTGGTAGTGAAGGTTCACACTAGCCCAGCCTCCCGGCACATTTGATAGAACTGACCACGCTGAGAGATCAGATTGGATGGTGAGTCCATCTCTGTGATGTACCCTCTGTCCATCACAATCACCCTGTTGGGAACAGTTGAATAGGGTTGAATTATTGTCAGTAATCATAATCATATTCTTTTTAGAAATAAACACGTGCTCTTTGTTATACCTTGTGTAGTCCATGATGGTGTTGAGACGGTGTGCGATGGTCAGAACGGTGCAGTCCTCAAACTGAGTTCGGATAGTGGACTGTATCAGATTGTCCGTCTCCAGGTCTACAGCTGCAGTGGCTTCATCCAAAACCAGAATCTTGGTCTTCCTGAGGAGAGCTCGAGCCAGGCAAACCAGCTGCCGCTGACCCAAACTGAAACCCAGAATATCCAGTCAGAAACTGTCATACTAGATTTTAGTCAAATGAAGAATAAACATGGTTGAGAAGTTGTTTATACCTGAGATTCTCTCCTCCCTCTGAACACTCATGGTTGAGTTTGTCAGGCAGGCCAGACACAAAGTTCTTGAGATGTGCGAGTTCCAGAGCTCTCCAGACCTCCTCATCAGTGTAGCCATCAAAGGGGTCCAGATTCATTCGCAAGGAACCAGAGAACAGCACTGGATCCTTGGGAAAAAAAGGTTGAAAATAAAACACTCAATCGTTAAGTTTTTTAAAGTTTGTCATGGTGTTCGATCTGTTTTTCCATTTTCACGTGTACCTGTGGGATAATGGTGATCCGAGACCTCAGTTCATGCAGTCCAACCTCTGCAATGTTTATCCCATCTATGAAGATCTTTCCTTTTGCCGCCTCGAGGATCCGGAAGATTCCGAGAGCAAGAGATGATTTTCCAGCCCCTGTTCTTCCCACAATTCCAACCTGAATAGATTCATTGAATAACTTAGAAAGTAATAAAAATAAAGCACAAATATGACAATGTGCTCAGATGTTATATTTACTTTCTCTCTCTCATTAACACTGAGGGAAATTTCTTTTAAGGCCCAGTCAAGACCCCTGCGGTACTGAAGTCCATATTCTTGAAATCCAATGGATCCGGATCTGGGCCAGTCTGATGGGAGTGGACTGTCCTCGATTGTCCATGGTGCCTGCGACAACCCAAGACTAACTTAGTGACCTCAAGAATGAATGTAAAAGTATACTTTTATGACTTTATATATAAGATTTATGGGGGAAAAACAGCTTTCAGACCAACGTTACCTCTTTTGTTGTTTCGGCATATTCCTTCACTCGCTCAACAGACACAATGTTGTTTTCTACATCTGTCCATGCCCGCACAATCCAGCTCAGGATCCCAGTTACCTGCAATGTGATTTTTCTTGAGAAGTTGCCTAATAGGTGGCTGTCCAAAGTTTCCAAAAACTTTTTGATGTGTTCCCTACCTGGAGAGAGTGTGACACAGCTAGCCCCACGATTCCAGGGCTTAAAGTTGATCTTCCCATAACAGAGAGAATAGCTGCAGCAAGGACCAGCAGGTTACCCAGGAACTCTAGATTTACTGCCAGCCACCTATTGGAACATTAAAGATATTGTATAGAGTTGGACTGGATTACCGGTAACAAAGAATGAATAAGCCATGACTGAATCTGACCTGGTTGCCACAAATCTTGGGAAATAGGACGTTTGATTGTGGTCCACTCGGCTGTTAGCCAGTAGGATAAACCTAGACTGTTCTCCAAAGGCCCGAATCACACTGACTCCTTGGACTGTCTCATTAAAATGAGTATAGATGGGCGATCGACTCACTGACTCTAGTCTACGCAACTGGCAGGATGTGGCCACGTAGAAGCTCTGAAAACATAGAAGAATAGATGTCAGATGTCAGACTGGTGCTCCTTGTTACGATACTCTTGCATGCTGAGCAGTCTCTAGTAGCATACCTGGATAAATGCATAGAGCAAAGTCAGTGGCAGTACGATCACTCCTGCAAAAGGAGTCGCCATCAGCACGATAATGCAAACCTCCAGAAGTTTGAACACATAGCCCAGCATCATCTTCAGCCCATCAGGGATCATGCAATCAATGGCGTCTATCTCTTTAGAGAACCGATTGAGAAGGTTACCACTGGGTGTACTCTCAAAGAACGACATAGGAGAGTGAAGTACATTGTTGACAAGGTCCAAATGAAGATGCCGGGATGCAATTATTCCTCCAAGTGAAATAGCCACAGTAGTGCCAAAAACTGCAATTCCTGCAATACAATAACAAAGTTAATGATCAAGAACAATACAGAGTCCCAGGGTACTCAATGAGGGTTGAGGAACATGAGGAATTTTGAACCTTGTGCAAAGCCGAGAGTGCCAAAAACACCAAGCTTCAGATCCGTGTTCACCTGTGTTCCATTTACAACCGGG